GAGAGAGAGAGAGAATCGTGTCCTCTAAAAGCCTACTTTTTGAACCCCAAATCCCACATAAATGTAACATAGTAACAAAACACCCCTAAGTATATTGGCGTGAGACAGAAAAAAACCAAAACCAAACCCAAATTGGTTAAACTCAATCGAGAAGGGCACCATCTGTTTTCCTATCGCAGGATTAGCACCTGCAAATTTGGTCTGGACTCTGGACCAATCAAACCAGCTGGTGCAAGCATCAAAATGTATACCCCAGCCTGACCAGTGCAGGCACCAGTTCCTGGTCTGACAGATCGAACCAGCTGGTCTAGTCTAGTCTAAATTTCAATTATTCTAACAAAGCATACAGTATAAAACATATAACAAACTACATAATATCAATAATTTTCATCATGTAGCACAGATCACCAGTTTAGTATTTGGATTCAACTCTCCCAGAAAATCAGGTTACATCAAAAAAATTAGACCTTGATTTAACCCTCAAATGCAACAAGTCTCTCCACAATCAAGACATATCAAACCATGATAAGTCAATCAGGATGGCAGTTGTTAATTGACAAACACGACTCAAGGATCCTTAGTCCTTAGAGGAGGCTGAAGTTCTAGTTGGTGAAAGTGAAATGAAAGATGCAGCTAAGGAACAAACAGAAAATAATATATTTCGATTAACAACAAAAAAAATGCTTAAAAACAACTAACAATCCAGGGAATGGATCTACTGGAACAAAAAAAAAGCTAGGTTTAAATATTTGCTTGGTGAAGTGCCCAATAAGAACTGGGACCTACGCTAAGCAGACCGGCCCCACAAATTGTATGAGGTTTAAGTATAGCTTTATTTCCCCATGCATAACTTCTCTTGCAATTGGCAACCAGGTCAATTGAGGTTCTGCATATAGCACAAAAGACCTCTGTTGAATATAGAAAGAAGACCATGCATTTGTTTTTTTTCCTCTTTTGTGGTTGATACATTCATTGAAGAGGATGGAACAGTTTTTTTTCCTTTTTTACTTGTGAATAAAATGCAAGCATGATGAAGAAGAAGGGGTTGTCATAAAGAATCGCGACCAATCATAAGTTTATAAAATGAAAGGGATTAGCATAGCCTAGTAAACCCATGAATAGGATATCCAAAATCAAAGTTGAAGTAAACATGACTGCGATTAACAAATACCAAAAAGGAATTCTTTGATAAGAATATCATGTACTATCATAAGATATTGAGAGGAAAATGAATAGCAAGAAATTTATCAAAAACAAATGAATAGCCAAAACCACTATACTGCACAAAGATTCAACAGAATACACGAGCAAAAGAACAATCATACTGACCATTTAACTCAATCTCTCCAAAGTTGCGACCACTGACAGACAGCTGTTTCTCCTGGGGCGTTATCCCAAGAGTGTTTGAAATAAAACTATTCAAGTTATTGACATCCTACAATCCAATGCAACTATGATAAGAACATGAAAGTGAAAAAACAGAGAAAAAACTTTAGACCATGAATCCTCAGCAAGTCAGTATGTTTCCAAGCACCACCAGCATCCAACCACTCAATAAACCAGAGACAAGAAAAAAAAAGGATGAAAAGGACAGAATTGTAGAAGATAGAGAGAAGAGGGGGGGGGGGGCAGAGACACAAGAAAAAAAAATGATGTAAAGGACAGAATTGTAGAAGAGAGAGAGAGAAAGAGAGAGAGAGAGAGAGAGAGAGAGAGAGAGAGAGAGAGAGAGAGAGAGAGAGAGGGAGGAGGAGGAGTAGAGAGAGAGTAGTAGTAGTAGGTAGTAGAGAGGAGAGAGAAGAGGTAGAGTAGACGTAAGAACGAAAGGAAGTAAG